TAGCTGTATCCTCACCCACCACTCCTGGAATTTAGCTTAAGGCCGTCTGTAAAACGGGGAGTCTTTATTCTGGTGCCCTACCGGAAAAAGTTCCGCTATTAAACAGGTTTTTGCTAAATACCTTGCAATGAACAGTCTGCTTCCGATATCTCGACGGTCATTTAACTGTTCGGATGCTTAGGCGGTGGGTACACTGGGGGTCCAATGGACTGCATACCGCTTAAACCACTCTAAGCCGGCGCTGTTCCCGAATCCGGTGGAGGTAACTTGAAGACTGACAAATTGCATTTTAAGTACAAACTATTTCTGGCGACAGTTAGCAAATGTTCTTCGTTATTTGTCCACTCGAGAGGAATAACTGACCCCCGGCGTAGTACTCATCGCTTTATCGTCTTATTTACATAGGAGGTGATCACGGAGCTAACCCGCGAGGAGAGGCTGCAGAGTACACGAATTACCTCTTCACCTGCTCCCTGATTGTCCTCGTGCATGAGAGATTTTCTTTTACATTGTTCTCCGTCCGTTTGATCCCCTTTGGTAGATCACACAGTGTATCAGAGTGGAGGGACGACAGAGAATGCGGGTAGATTGATACAGTACTGTTCCGGGCTTATTTTGCCTTCATTAAGCCAATTATAACCCTGACCGGCAGCTGGGACCAGAAACACAAGCATGCGCTCTTACACGGTGCAGATGGTCCACAGACGGGATCTAGCAGATGGGCCATAAACACTTCATCTTACTGAAGTTCATCCGTACCTCGCCGCTTTTCATCGTCTGTTGCTGCAGATCGGGTATTTATCCAAACAGGATTACGTATGAATAACAGGGGTAGTATGAATTCCGAGACGATATAATAAATGGAGAAGGCTGCTCAGAAAATCGAGATATACTTGTGAATTTCAAGTCGGTAACACCAACCCGTCGTCAGAAGAAATGAATAATGTGAGAGAGATAATCGCAATAGGGAGCTGGGGAGACATCGAGGTTACATCCACAAAACAGACGTCTATGTGTGGGGGAGTGAAGAACGTGTTTGTATGTATATATAATTTTCAAAGAAATAGCCTGACCATAACTTTTAAGACCTTTTTCACAAGGATGTCGATTATTCTGTGGCACAGCTGTATCTAATGATTTAAATAAATCTGATTAAGTTTGTAAGAATGCACCTTTATAAGTGGTTTGAAGTCAGACTGTTTTCTGACTGTCCGAAGTGGAATTAAATGGATTCTAACTGTACTCTGGGAGTGACACTTGTTGCAGACGATAGATGTGTTTTTTTCGACGTTGTCAGGCATGACAAATTTTGACAAAAAAGGACGCGGCCATTTCTGTGAAAGGAGGCGACCAATCTTAGGGCTCCTGCCATTTTAGTGACGGGCGCAGTACCCATCGCTTTTTCGTCTGATTTACATATGAAGTGATCACGAAGCTGCCCTCATGCATGAGGGATTTTCCTTTACATTGTTTTCCGTCTGTTTGATTCCCTTTGGTTGATCACGCGATGTGCTAGGAGCCGACTGATGTTGCATTACTATCGTAAGGCCACTATCACAAATCTAGTGCCAAAGGCAAGAACAACTTACCCCTCGTTCCGATGACAGTAGGCGATCGCCTGGCAGTCCTTCGGGCTTAAATTTTTACAACGCAGCCATTTTTCCTTCCCCACTTCCCCTCCTGGAAGTCCGGACTGTTTTATTTTTCGAACGCCACCCAGCGCATGACAGAAGGGGTCTACCTATCGGACCGCGAATAGCAAAGCTTCTACGACACCCGACAAGTACCTTGATCTGGTTATTTTTGATGCGAACTCGTTTGCATATTGCTCTGGTTCAGCATTAACGAGCGGGGAGACCGTTTTGTTCAAAATGCCTGAACACTCTGAGGAAGACCTGATGCCCCCTTGACCTCACAAACTTGCAGTTAGGCTGTCTTTGCAAGAAAAAGGTCCCCGCCCTAAACTATTTGCTCATCACACGCCCGCGATTTCGGCGATGTATAGGCTCACTATCGTCTGTTCTCTAATTAAGCGGGTCATTCAACTTATCCCACCCTTCCTAACGGCTTTTTATCTCCTCATCGATGCATACCTACCCTAACGAGATGTGTCATTTCAAGGGCCGCGAAATTCGAAAAAGAATTAACAAGTTTCCAGAATATGACCTTATACACAAATTCCTCGGATAGTGGACAAAACGTCCAAGCGATAAGGAATTCATTCTGGTGTTAACAGGATTTTCCGGTGTTCACCTGTGCTTCCCTTCAAAAAATTAACACTATTTCTGTCGGCTGCCTCAGAGCAGACCCTTTTCTAATCATGCTTGTCTCCACTTCTTCAATTAACAGTTAGGGAGACACTTCGGCTCACACGGTCGGTCCAATTCGACCCTACTGGGCAAACATAAACGCATGAGAAGCGGCTCACGAAAAGTGAACATGCACCACGGACTGCCAATGGAAGGATTTTTGCGGATTGTTCTCATTGCTGTGGTCAATACTGTGCCGAATGTCCGATGGAAATCCCCTATTTTTGTCTAAGATACGTTTTTGTAATTATGTATTATCAATCAGTTTAAGCAGTCGAAGTCCCTGTGAGAGACGACTCTCCGTTTCTACAAGAAGTACTTGCAGATTGAAGAGGTAGAAGAGAGGGAAATAGTAATCAAACGTCATCCGGATTTCATGCTCATCTCAAATTACGCTTTGCCAATAGTGCGCGGGGAAATGGGGCCGTTTTGTAACCATTTCAACGTCCCGAAACGGTAAGCATCCTCCACAGTATTTAATTGTGTCGTAAAACTATATTTTCTATAGCCAACCCAACATGTTTTGATGTCCGTCTAGAAATTCGTCTGGGGTAATATTCTAAGTCTCACCTGCGCATCGTTCCCCACAGTTCTGGATTTGAAAACGGGAAGCTTTCGACATAATTATCAAATAAGACATCGATTATTTGCTTGTCTTTACCGAAGGAACATACAAGCGACAAACTTGTGCTTCGCTATAGTGTATGGCCGTTTCTCAGTTGGTTAAACTGAATCCCGCATCCGCAAACACTCCTTGCCAGCATCAGCCCAGTCCGGCCCAAATGGGCAAGGTTGGGCTACAAGGTTGGGCCACGGTATGGCGAGGGCGGATGTGGCTCAGTGGGCCCTGTCTCCCAAAAAGAAGGAATCTGGAACGCAGATGGTAACCAAGGAGATTTTTAAGGATAGGACTGATAGGGACTCGTTCAGCGCAAATTAAATAGGGTAACAGTTTCATAGTTTCGCTCTAAAATCGTGATTTACAAAAATGAAACATTTAGTCTAAATGTCCATGCCAGATCCAGCCCAACCCAGCCCAGTTCGGCCCAATTGGGCTGGGTTGGACTACATGGTTGGGCCACGGTGTAGCAAGAGTGGATGCGGCCCAATTGGTCCAATCTCTCATAAAAATGCGCAGGGAAGCTCGCCTTTTAACGCTTTCCCGCTTCCCGTAGTCAGCACAGACAGTAATTTCACACATCAGAAAGGCAATAGATTGCGTACCACAGCATGGATAGAGCTAGGATGAAGTTAAGACATGTCATCCTGACGGGACGTTTAGACGATGAGGGCTACTTTAGGTACTTGGCTTTATTCAGTTTGATCTTACTGTAGTAGTACATCTTAGCGGTTAAATGCATAATTTGAAGCAAGGACTTGTTTCTGCATTAATCCGGAATGAGAATAGGCCGGGGACACACTTAGCCCAACTGTGGCCCAATGTTTGCTGGCAACTTTGCAGGGCAGTGTGCTACAGCCGTAGCACACTGGTAAAAGGTGTCGTTCATGCTTTTTCAAAAGGGAGCGTATGGTTCAGTTGGTACGTGAGGTGCCTTTAACAGCCTAAGGAATGAATACATCTTATTATGGATTATTTGAGCGAAAAAACAGCGAAAAAATGGAAAAACGCTGTAGAATACTGTAGAAAGCAAACGTAGAATGGAGGTCAGCAACATCCACCGGTGTGCCCTTGAAGTTACCAAAGGCAGATCAAAATATACAATCTACTGACATAAAGCTATTCTTTCACTACGATAACTCCACATATACAGGTTTCACAGACACGAGCCTTACACACGGACAACTTAGTATACCTGTACTTCTGCCAAATAATAGTTGTGGCTTGATGGAGAGTGTGAAGCATTAGACGCGAAGTCGATAGGCTAGCAGCTGGATTCCCTCCTGACTGCACATTTTAATAATTTGAATCAAAATGTCATTGTTATTCACAGAATCCTAAACTCATCGGCAGTTTTCGAGCCTTTCAGTAACAATTCTTCCCGGTTTCTGGCAAATTCAAAATGAACTCCCAAATCACACTTTCTCCTGCTAACACTAAATTTGTATTAGCGACTCACCACTTTCAGTCCTAGCTGAAAAAGCCCTAATGTCAGCCCTTTCGAACTGCGAACATTGTTACCGTTCTTCCCAAACATTACTGGCGCGATCTTTTTCTTCCTTTCAGCGCGGTTTATTGGGATAGGGGGGTGAGGCCCTCAGAAATAGAACGCTTTCAGACTTCATATCTTTTTTGGTGCCCGTTGGTTGCGATGGACGTTTTCGTTGGTCGCCATGTTGAGTGCAGTTCCTCGTCCTCGGGCAACCACGCCCAGCCGCCAATCTGGAAGTTCGCGGGCCTTGAACATGGCCTCTTTCGTCAAGCCATCTAAAACTGGGCTACTCTCTCTCGTGTCGTCCATCGCGATCCGGAATATTCTATCAAGTTTTGAAGCAAGCATAGGAAGCAGAATTTATCGGGACCAATAAATGTCGTGACGGCTTATCAACTGCAGCCCGTCGTTGCATAACAGAGAAAATAATTGAGATTTGTTCAGATTGACAAAGTTGAGAGATCCGGGAAGATTATTTGAAGAAGAAAATAGGCTCTCCGGAACAGGTTTATTTAACTGCTGACGTTTCAAAGAGTTGGGTCGGCTCTTCATTGTCAAAGCGTAAAATGCACTTAATTGATCAGAAGTTTAATTTAAAGTGGCATCTTGTGTTGGTCGGCTTTATGCTGATCGACCTTTTTTCTCCTCTCGCTGCCTCAGCCTTTCGGGAGATGGTGAACGGGCGTTTTGCCTGTGTGCTTTGTGAGTCACCACTCCGTCGATTGGAGCTCCGTGAACCTCTGTCGGGCGGTCGGTCTGGCGGTTCTTGTTCTTCCTCACCGAGTAAACTCAGCGTCAGGCTATCTCCGTAGGGGTTTCTTAAGTCCGGCGTGGTTGTTTGGTCCTGAGCTCTACGATTGTGATGACGCAGGACTTTGTAAGCTGCAGGAAGGTCCAGATGCCTGTTGATAGATTGGGCATCGGAGAACCACGCCTCGAAAGTTAGCCGTTCGGCTTTTGTGTTGCCTCGGCCTAAGATGGTAGACCTCTGGAGGTCAAAAGTATGCTCTGTTTCTCCAACATGTGTTGCTAGTTGAGAGCTAGGGTATAACCTCCGAGTGGCCGATTTGTGCTCTTGTAGGCGAGTTTGCAATTTCCGCCCAGTTTCGCCCGCATAGTTGCAGTCGCCCTCATTGCAATTTATTTTGTAAATGACTGCTGAGGTTTCAGCGGGTGGCAGTGCATCCTTGGGTTGCATCAGGCGACGTCGAATTGTTCCTTGGGGTCGATGGGCTACGCCTACTCTGGTAGGTTGTACCAGTCGCGAGACCGCTTCAGAGACCCCTTTGACGTAGGGAATGGCCCTCCAGACTGCGGGTTGCTGCTCATTTGGCCGTCGTCTGCTTCTCTCAATGAAATGTCTGGGATAACCATTGGCTGAAAATAGGTTCACAAGGTACAATCGTTCGGCCCTTTTATCTTCTGGCGTGCTGCAGTGTGTTTCGACTCTTTGGAATAGAGTGCGGACACAACTACGTTTGTGAGACAGAGGATGGTTGCTGTTGAAGTGTAGGATCTGTCTCGTTTTGGTGGATTTTCGGAATACTGTAGCTTGCAGCTGTCCATTGGTACAGCGGCGCAGAAGTACGTCAAAAAAGTGGAGTTGCTTGTTTGTTTCTGCTTCCATCGTAAATTGGATATCTGGGTTAACCGAGCTCAGTAGTTCCTTTAGGTGCTCTATATCAGTTGTTTTGACAACGGCGAAGGTGTCATCGACATAGTGGGCCCAGAACTTTGGTTGATACTTGTTGAACACCAAGTGTTCTACCCGTTGAGGAACTACTTCAGCGATTAGGCCTGATATAGGGGAGTCCACAGGAGTGCCTTTTATTTGTTCGTACATCTGTCCACCGAAAGTGAAATAGGTCTTGAGACAGTATCGCAGAAGCTCGAGCAGATGCTCAGACCTCAGGGGTTTGTGTCTTTCCTCATAAAGCTCTGCCAGTGGTTGGTCCACAACGTCTATCGCTAGTTGCCGTGGAATCGATGTGAAGAGCGAAACGACATCAAAGGATACCATGGACTCGTCTGGCTCTAACTTCAGATGTTTTATGCATTCGAGGTATTGATACACAGATGTTACTGTTGTTGGTGAGCCTTCGGCCAAAACCTTAGGACGACCGAACATCCATTTTGCCAAACCGTACGTCGGAGTGTCACGAAGGGATACGATTGGCCTGAGTGGGACATTTGCCTTGTGTACCTTCGGTAGACCGTAAAAACGAGCCGTCGCGGTGTCAGTGGGCTTCATGGAGAACCAGTCGTTGGGTGTAATCGCCGCCTTGGCCCTGAGATTTCTTAGGCTTTTGTTTATCCGAGTGATAAGATTTTTCATTTCGCTGGCACGGCATTATTTGTATGAATACTGGTCTGCGAGTAAGTCCTGTACCTTGTTCTGGTAATCCGATTTGTCCAGCGCAACTGTTGAACGTCCTTTGTTAGCTGGCAGAATAATTATGTCCTTTTTTGCTTTTAGGCTTTTCAGTGCTCGCTGTTCCATATTGCTAAGAGTCTCGCACCTCTTGTGTCGCATAAACAACGAGGAGGTTTGGTGACGGATCAAATATTTCGTCTCTTCTGACGCCTTTGTTAATTGAAGAACAGATTCGAGGGCGGCGATAAACTCTGTGGGTGCGACATCTGCTGTGTTAAAAGTGGTTCCACGTTCCAGGACTGCGAGTTGTGTGTTCGTAAGGGCTTTAGATGAAAGGTTGTGGACAAGGACGCCTGACGAGTTGTCGGAGCTTGGTACTCGAAGTTTTTCCAATTTGATAGATAATTCCTTGTCTCTTTTGACACGTACTTTCTGAGCATGTCTGAGAATGGTGAGCTTTATAGCCTTCGATTCTTCACCGACAGCTCTCCACAGATAAAACTTAGATTGGTCCATCTTTAAATTGTAGCGTTCTAGTCTTTGATGGCAATTGTGAATTAGCACTCTTGTCATTCTTCTGCCAAGTCGGGCTACAGTCTCCCTTGCCAGAGCAGAATTCACAGGAGGCTTCTAAGTGACGCTCGTTGGGGTCAATTGGTTGTCAAGGCAGCGAGAGGAGAAAAAAGATCGATCAGCATAAGGCCGACCAACACAAGATGCCACTTTAAATTAAATTTCTGATCGATTAAGTGCATTTTACGCTTTGGCAATGAAGAGCCGACCCAGCTCTTTGAAACGTCCGCAGTTAAATAAACCTGTCCCGGAGAGCCTATTTTCTTCTTCAAATCGAGATTTGAATTTCCACAGAGAAAATCAATATAAACAGCAAGGCCATCCTATACTGCACGCAGATTAATCAATAAAATGGCAACTTGAATACGCAACGTAAGAAAGAAAACTGGGACGTTTGCACGCAGAGAGGTTGTACAAACCAAAGGGCTGAGATTTTCCAGAGCGAGTTCACTTTGATCTCGTGGTCTAACTGTTTACATAGATCGGGTTTCTCCCGCCGTAAGTAAGCTGCCTCCAAGTAGCGCAGTATCCGAGTGGCTCGTGCCCGAACTAATACTCGAAAAGATGTTTTGCGCTCAACAGAATGACCGTTATCGAGGAGGTGCTTTGTAATAGAAGACCGTGGAAGTTTCTTCTCCTGGCTTAGAAGCCATTTAGGCAAGAGACAATAGATGTCATATGCGCCCATGCGTCTGAAACCAGTCTTTCATCTGAAATACTACGTGACCTGTTGAAACTTTGTTTTAAAAACGTTCAATTTCTATTTAATGGACAGTTATATAGAGAAAGTGATAAGAGTGGCAATAGGAAGTCCACTTGGTCCAACCTTGACCGACATTTTATGGAGCACTAACTTGAATACTAAAACACTGCCAATATCTGCCTATGTCATGCGTCGCAGTGCGCATGCTGGTTAGGCTTGAAAGAGAGCCCGTAACGCACAACGGAACGAGTGAGTTCCACGGAGTGATCGGTGAACGCCCCCTACCACTGTATATTTCCGATCGAAACCGAAAGAGCAACGGGCTCGTGGCCCAGTGGTTAGGGGCGTGAACTTCTAACTAACAAGTCGCGAGTTCGAGCCTCGGGTGTTCCACACTTCGGGGTTGGGTATAAATAGCTGACGACGGCTAATGAGCCAGAAATGGCCATTCCAGTCTCCCTTCTCTTTGTCGGTAATAAAATACTGCCTATGAAAACACTTTACAAAAGATATGCGGATGATATTTTTTGCTATTGCTGATAACAACGAAGAAGCCCAAGACCCACTTGTTGCCATGACTAGTCTCCATCTGGTTTGTTGATAAGCCGTCGCGAAAGTTATTGTTTCCAATAAATTCTGCTGTCTATGCTTGCTTCAAATTCATCCCGGGGATATATTCCATTAGGTTTTATTTGTCAAATCTGGATCGCTTGCCTGTTTCATGAGAATGGGCAGGCAGAAGGGCGAAGATGCAACCGCCTTCCACGTCAGTGCACTCTTGAACATTCCGCACCGCAGCCATGGGGACGCTAGTCCTTGATAAGGGCGCATCACTTGATTGTGGCGAAACCGCGTTTTCTCGAATGGCGGGACTGGCGGGGTGTGGCTTCTGTTGACGTAAGCAGACAAGGCAGACACGGGCTTCGCGGCATTCCTTGCCTTTGTTGACATTAGTATCGGCGCATGCTATTTCGTGCAATTTATTTGGCCCCATCACTGGCAACCGGTTTACTTACAAATTCCTACTTGGATGCCAACTCCCTGGCGCCTTCTGCGTACGCCTATTACGCCATCAGTGACGCAGCGTTTGTGGTTACTTTCCGCGACTGATGACAGAGATTACAGTCTTGCTTTTTTTGCGCCTAATAAAGCAATTTGTACAAAAGAAGGCACTGAAACAGCACGACGCTGGCATCCCTACACTGTTGTAAGCAGGTTTATGTTAGGAATTCGGTTTTAGAACATATTCCCCTGATGTCTGGATATTCAAGGGCTGTCGTGCTCATCTGCATTCATTTCAGCTACCACTGAAAGTCCTCCCGGGAACGAACGGCACCCATTCCCGCCGATTACTCACCTACGGTCGGCTTAGGGATGATTAACAAGGGGCTCATTTCTTTGGATTGCGGCGTCCACACTTAAGCCGGCGCATGCAACAGTTCTCGTGGTAGGCGGCGCTCACCGATCGTTCTTACGGAACTCACTCGTCCCGTTGTGCCTTACGGGCTCTCTCTCTCGAGCCCAACCAGCAGCCACACAGCGGCGCATGATATAGGCAGAATGGCGTTACTGACAAGACAAGGGAGACTTGAATGGCCATTTCTAGCTTATTAGCCGTCGTCAGCCAGTCATACCCAACTCCGAAGTGCGCAACACTCGCGACTTTTTAGTTAGAAGTCCATGCCTCTAATCACTGCGCCACGAACCCGCTGCCCTGTCGGTTTCGATCGGGAATATACGATGGTAGAGGGCGCTCACCGATCGTTCTTATGGAACTCACTCGTTCCGTTATGCCTTACGGGCTCTCTCTCTCTCGAGCCAAACCAGCAGGCGCACAGCGACGCATGATATAGGCAGAATGCAATTACCGATGGTAGAGGGCGCTTACTAATCGTTCTTACAGGGCTCGTGGCCCAGTGAGTAGAGGCGTGGACTTCAAACTAACAGGTCGCGAGTTCGAGCCTCGGGTGTTCCACAATTCGGGGTTGAGTATGACTATCTGACGACGGCTAATAAGTTAGAAATGGCCACTCCAGTCTCCCTTTTCTTTGTCGGTAATAGCATTCTAACAGTTCTCGTCTCCACAACTGTCGCTGTCGGAATAAAAACCGAAATGGGTGTCATTATTGGAAGTGAATTGTCTCACACGCACGTTGGGCTTGCTGCACAGCAGGGACGGTGGTTTACGCGTGAATTGTGATGGCAGACTTGCATAGAACCTAGCGCACCCTCTCCTCCCCCACCTGGGCCCGATGTCAAGACGTAGTCATGAAGACCGGAGGTGGTCGAGGCCGCAGGTTGCTGGCGCGGCATAAACCCGCGCCTAGGTGTACCACCACACTATCTGGTCCATAACATACACTTGACCAGGATTTCAACTAACAACAACAAAATGGGGATGGCAGAAATCTACCGCGTGGCCCGTTCCGAACACCCATTGAGGGTCTCACTGGACGTCAACATCTGAACATCTTCCAGCTACTGCTAGGGTCCGGGAAATTTTGCTCGTATGTTGTTTAAAGATTCGTTAGAAAAAAATTGTGCCTGAGTCTGCTTTCGAGAGGAAATAACTGGTATCATCCTCTCAAAGGACCTGCATTATGCCAGACGAATGCTTGCAATCTCCTCTAGGCTATTGTGGTCGGTCGGTGAAACAAACAAAACGCTGCACGACATGGACGATGTGCTGGTCTGGAGAGTAAATACATCGTGCTGTCGATGTAGGTCCCTCCGTGCCGACGAACTTTTATGCTGGTTGTCGGCTGTAGGCACGCTTTTCATAAATAATATCTTGTGGGGGGATTTGAATGTAACTTTCGGAATCATGCGTTAGGTGATTGGTGAGCCCTGGATGAGAATTCGAAAAAAACAGGCCTGCTGACTGCCTAACTAGCAGAGGTATTTCGATTGAACAGCCGCAAAGATTATGGCGAAGTCCGCAATTAGACTTATCTTGATTTACTTAAATGAAATAGTTTGGTCCAAAGGGGCTTATTTCTAAGCAGCTCGTCGCGGAAGAAAGAAGGCCCCACCGCGTCTCATCCAGAAAAATGGTCGTCCCCAATATAAACTCAACCTTTGAATGGAGGAATTAATAAACAGTGAGTTATTTCTCTGGAACGGAATCGCTTTTGCCAGCGGATTTTTTATGGAGAGGATCACATTATTATGAAAAACGGTAACTACGAATTTTGGAAGTTTGCCAAAGGCTCTGACGGGAATGCGTTTACACGCACAGACGCCTGATTCCTAACATCCGCGTTATCCTTTAGAAGGGCGACTCATTTTTTCATTCTCCATGAAATTGAAGTGACCGCGGGAGGAATAACTGAAAACATATATTTGCCAATGCAACTTCTCAAACGTCACATGGGAATATTCGCAGAACGTATTTTTTAAAGCTCGTTCTGCTTATTTCCTCTGGTTTCTCCAAAATGCAAACGCCTCATTTATGCCTTTTTGACTTTGCGACTCGATGAATTTCAAAATGAGCTGACCTGCCTAGAGGGCGTATTGCCTACGAAATACGTCGGCGGCCTTTTTGAGAACCTTAGTCGCAGTCCTTGACTGAACTTCCTAATTGGCCTCTGTTAATTCACGATTGGCTAATGCCCCTCCATCGGGATCGATTAGCGCCATGACTGTCCCGAGTGCGTATTGGTGCTTTGCCTGCGAACCTGTTCCT